TTGATACCATTCACATAAATCAGTTTTATTCTGTAAATTACAAAAGCAATATTTTTATATTTAAAATATACAGAAATGTATACAGAAATGGTTGAAATTTTTAGGTGTAAGAATCTAAATTTAAAAAAAGTTTTTATAATCTTTTTGTGAATTGGTTAAAAAAATATCCTCTAGATATAAAATTAGTTGTGATAACTAGAAAATATTTATAGTAATAATTTTTTTAAGAAGGAGTGAGATATTAGGCATAAAGATCAAACATGCTACTGTATGCAATCATATAAATAATAGTAACTGCAAAAGATTATTCAATATTATAAATTGTTTTTATAATAAATAATACTAAAAAAGTAGATGAAGTATTGGTGCTTGCTGGTGATCTGTTAAGATTTATTTATTATAACAGTATTTGAATATTTCTAATGAAGCTTGTTTTTAATAGGGAAAAATTTAGTTTATGTATAAATCGAGTTATTATAACTAAGTTATTGTAAAAAGTTATTGCGAATACTGATAACCGAGCAGTTAAAACCGGAGAAAAACTAATTAGTAAGATTAGTTAAAGGTTTAATGTCAAGAATTTTTTAGTTAAAATTAATAATCCTTTAAAACTTGATGAATTTTTAGGTATCCTTTTAAAGCAATAACTTATTAAGTAACTCTGTTAAAATTTGAAATGAAACTTGAAAAAAGGAAATTGTAATTATTAAAAACATTAATTTTATAAAAAAGAGAGTATGGTATGGTATGAAATTTAAAATAAAATTGTTATAATCTGAAACAAATGATTTTATTGTTTCAGAAAATCCTATAAAAGTAAATTGAAGTAAATAAATTACAGTTAATAAATTATTTTAAATATAGAAGTGATAAAGATTTTAAGAGTGATGGGGTAGCAAAAATATAAAAGAAAACTTTAAAAAATTTTATGTTTAAACAAGATAATTTTTTAAGTATTTACAAATAAGGTATAGATAACAGAACATTTAGCAAAAAGTATTATAGTTATTCAATAAATCATGACAAATTGAAATATATAATTAAGGAGATTGTATCTATTAATCTTGTTTTTAAAAAAATTATTAAAACTTACAATTATTATAAGGATCAATAACATCAAGAGTAAATAAATTTAATAAAAAACTTAAGATTAAGAGTTTATTTATATGTCATTTATCATCAGTTGTATTACATTCGGAACATCTCAAAATTATACAGTAATTATTAAATAAATAAAACTATTAGATAAATTTATTAATAAACCCCTTTTTAATAATTAATAGAACATCATTGTACTTTATCAATATAAAGAATGAGATTATTATACACTCTAACAAATAAAACTCAACATTACTGTTGTATCAACTAAAATGGGCAGATGTTTACTGATGTCACAAAGTGTATTTCTAGAAATTCTAATTGATAGATTTTAAAGTTAAAATTTTTTTATGAAGAAATTTTAATTAACAATAGAAATTAAGTACAAGATGAGTGAAGAGTATTTTAATGTGAAAAATGACAATAAATATTGTTAGATATAGAGAGCAGCCCTTACATAAACAGTAAAGATGACAATAAATAATCAAAAAAAAGACTAAATAAACTTTATTATAATTATTCTTTTTGTTTCAGCAATTACAAATAAATGTTTAAATTTGTTGAAAAATGTTTTTATAAAAATGAATTTATATTTTTTAATTTCCAAAAAAACTTGATTAATTTATATATATATAAATATTTTACAAAAATATTTAAATTGATTTTTTTGATACCCGATATGACAATTATGCTGATGAGTATTTTAAGCAGTGTGATGTTTCTAATAACCAATAATACCTTTGTGATTGGTAGAGTAAGATGTGAAGATATTATAAACAGTGAAGAGATGTCTGCTTTAATAGAAGAATCCAATTCATTATTTAGAAAATTTCAAGTTTGTTTTTTAAAAGAAGTTTTAGAAAACATAAGAGAGAATAATGAAAACATTTTTAATGAAAAAGAAGATTTAAAAAACTGTTTTGTTAAGTTAAATAAGATTAAATTTGATGATAAAAGTTATAAAGAAAATATAGTTGATTTTATTAACAGTATATTTAGAGTAGTAAATAATGACACTAATTTCAATTGTAGTGAATTATTGGAAAAAGAAGATGTTGATTTTTTAGAATCTGTCGATTCACGCTCCTTTGAAATAGCTGAGAAAATGTTGTCCAATTATGAATATGGAAGTTTTAAAAATTTAAGGAATAAAACGGAGACTGAAAGATTTATAAAAGTAAACCAAGAAATTTTTGTTTTATATACAGCAGTAAAAAATCAATTAAATGTCTTTAAGTTAGAAACTGAATATAAAAAATACAACCTATTTAAAGAGATAATCGAGTCTTTTTCGGATTCAACCTCTGGATGCAATATGTGTAGTTTGAACCAGTCTTTAGACTTATCTGAAACAGAATCAATCAAACTTAAGAAATTAATAGACATGATTATTTATTACGATAAAAAAGTACATAAAATTAATAAAAGGCTTGATGAAGCAAATAAAGAAGAACTAACTCTTTGTAAAAATGATCTTGAAGTAATAAAAAATAAGTTTGATATTGATTTAAAGAAGTACGCGAAAACGGGAGAAAATTTGGATCAAGTCTGAAATTTTCCCCCCGATAATAACAACTCGGAAATTTTCCCCCTTTAATAAAAAAATAAAA